CTGGCAAGGTGGATGCAAGAAAGACATCAGGCATACTGGAACAATGTCCCAGGACAAAGACACAGTAAACTGATGGTTGGAACACTGTCACAAAACAGTGACTAACGACATTCTGAGCCTAAACAGAAGTCAGATCAAACAAGTGACGGGACTAATAACCGGTCACTGCCCCTTGAGGAAACATATGCATCAAATGGGAATCTATACAGACGAACCCATATGCAGACTATGCAATGAGGAGGAGGAAACTGCCACCCATGTAATATTGGAGTGCGAAGCACTAGCGCGTTGGAGATACAACCTTCTGGGAGCAGTAAAGTCTCAAGAGGAATTTTCAAAGAATGATTTGGTGAAGAGGCTGCTTAACCTCATCAACGTAGCGAACCTGTTCACCTAAGTCAACAGCATGATCAGGAATACAATAGGCCGAAAGACTGCAGTGTTTTGGGCTTCAAACCCTGACTGATCATTCTGCTATTAATCAATCAATCAATCAATCAAGCAATACATTGAGAATTCGCATTCTCTATGTGATGAGAATATCTACTCTTTTTCAGTTTATTCAATAGAAAACAACTACTTTCCTGGCTATATGCCACGACGAACATCAAATTATATTGTCGCAACTCAGATGGTTTTGGTAGATTATTTGGCAAACGGCGTGTCCACCACATGTCGCAACTCAGATGTTGCCCTCCTATGGTTCGCAACTTGGCTACTCGCTTGGGTTGATGAGAGGATTTTGATCATTTCACCACCCAACCATATTCATCCCCAAATGAAGAGTCAAGATAGTTTTCGTATAAAATTAACGTTTATTGATTCAATGGGAAAGTCGTGAATAAATGCTTGCCACATGGCAAAGTAGCAGAGACAAACCATAGTAAATTCCCAAACGGAACACAACACAAAACAACCATTCAGATAGAACATGGAAAAACAGTACTTACATTATGACATCTAACATGGGGTTGACCAGCAGGATCAAAGTCGGGAGGACGGTACACATTTTGGCAGCAACTCGTGAATTAGTAACTCAATTACGGAATAAAATAAGGTGTTATCGATAATGAATGGCTTATCGATTGGAAATCTATTTATATTTGGAATCGATGCTAACATTGCAATTTTCCGCAATGGCAATGCTCGATACCGGGCGAATAGCTTAGCCCGCATCGCAAGCTAAGCGGTTTCATGCAAATTTTACCGGAACTAGAGTCTATGAACTCCGCTTTGACCTGATCGAAACGCTGTACTAGATGTTTTAATTTGGAAAAGTTAATTTATGAATAAAGATCTAGAAATGAACGAAAGTTTGAGTGATGTTATTTCATAGACATTTGTACTCCTTGACAATATCTATTGAATACACACGATGAGAGTTTGAAGATAAAATATAAAAACTTCTGAAATTGAGAATTTGCATTCTCCTTCAGACAAAAATAAGTATATGCACACATCATTCTGAATATTCAACAGAAAACAACTATTTTCCTATTGAAAAAGAAACGCGATGTTATAGATCTGTTCCAATTCAAGGGCAAAATCTGAAAATTACGAGTAACAGGTGCATAAAATTAGTACATTCACATACATCTATGACTATTTGTATATTGTCGAATATAAAAAGGACCGTATGTTTATATAATATTCAGGTAATATGGATAAAAATCTGAATTATATAGTTTGAAATAGGTATACATAATATCAATAATATAGTTGGGTTATTGTTTTGGGGTGGGATTATGGTCAATTGGTGTTTAATATTCATATCACATTTTTCACTGTACCACATTTGGGATGCCAAATTATCAACTGAAAATAAATCGTAATGGCTCTATTGAATATTTGATGCTATAATTTATTGACAGATCTAAACGTAGGTGAGATTATTTGGCTATACTTATATATTCGCTCCATGAATTTGGATGTCCTTAGTCACCCCGAACGAAGTAAAAATACAAGTTGGGATAATATATCGAACGAAAATATCCTTTGATTGTATAGGTAAGCATTTATTTGGTGATAGTCTATATTGTAGTGGGAAGGTATATAATGAAAAGAACACAACTCGGCTAAAATTTTCACAACTTCGGTAATACATCTCTCTGGATTTTCTTATCCCCGTCTCGAATAAGAATATCAGTAATTTCTCTAATTTTGTCTCGAATTTTATGATTTTCCTCGTATTGAAAGATAAACATATAAGTAATATTTCAATACAGAGTGTCTCATCATTAGCGTGCTATACTTCACCATTAGATCGAAAGATTGAAAATATGAAAAAAAGTTTCTATAAACATAGGTCGAACAATGTCTCATAAGCGAGCTACAGCCCCTTGAAGGTGGTACCCTGAAAATGGTTTTTATTTTAT